TCTCCTGCCTCAGCCTCCTGAGTCGCTGGGATTACAGGCACGCACCACCATGCCCAGGTAATTTTTTGTATTTTTAGTAGAGACGGGGTTTCACCGTGCTGACCAGGATGGTCTCGATCTCTTGACCTCGTGATCCACCCGCCTCAGCCTCCCAAAGTGCTGGGATTACAGGCTTGAGCCACCGCGCCTGGCCTACACTTTCAATATGTACAGACACATGACAGTGTCTACAGAGGAATTAACTCAATAGAATAGAATGTCCCAGGGAGGTGTGCGAGTTTGCTAAGCTTGGCTTTGCTGAAGCACCAACATTGATTCATTCACTTCAACAAATTAATACATGACTTAACAATCAGTTGACTATTTGAATATTTAATAAGCTGTGATTTAGCATTTGTTACTTATCTAGTTATCTAATGAGCTATCATTTATATGTCCCTTATCTATTTAAATATCTGATGACTTCTTATTTATCACTTGTTACTTACCTAAAATAATTGGTTATTACTTGTCATTTGTTATTTCTTGTCAATTTAATGAAATAATCATAGAGATATTTGAGTGGTATTATATTCAATTTACATTACCTACTGTAAACACCTAAATTAGGTAATTTAGGTAATAATTCAATGACTTGGTCAACCCCTTAAAAATCTCCAAGGTCTTGTCTCCTTGCTCTCTCTCCTGCACTGACACAGCACGGGACGCATGCTAGGCCTGAAATAAACGTCTGCCGAATGGAGGATGAGTGAAACGCAAGAGAACGCAAATGAAAGCCTGAACCAGCAGACCCGAGAGCCCCCAAGGGCAAGGACTGGCTGGCTTTCCTCTTACTAGGGTCCCCACTACCATACCTGGTCTAACCTGGGGAATTCCTCACCCCCCAGGCCCCTCCCCCTCACACTTGGTCCTCCTCACAACCTGTCCCTTCCCCAACTCACCTGGTCTTTCTGGAGCCCCTGTCACCTCCCCTGGCACCTGATCATCCTCGAACCCCACCCCCCCATGCACCTGGTCCTCCTTGCACCCCGTCCCCTCCCCATTACCTGGTACTCCTCATGCTGCTGTAGCAGCTGACAGCGGTGGCGGAGGAGCTCCTCCAGGCCCAGTTCTGGCTCCCGACACTCGCGCACACCCTGAGGGAAGTCTGTCACCAGGCTGTGGGGGACATGAGAGCAGCCCTGAGGACCACCCTCTATAGGCATCACTGACCCCCCGTCCCCCACCCCATTCCCTGGCTCACTCAGAAGCCTGGGCAAGTCGCTGTCCCACAAGGGACCTCTGTTTCCCCATCTGCGGAACAGGCCTCATGCTGCCTCTAGCCCAGGGTGGGTGCTGAGGGGCTCAGCGAGGGGCCTGATGTGTGTCGACTCCAGTGTGCTGTTCACAGCTCCAGAGTCATCTGTTTAGACACTAATCCACTGATGAAGGCATGTATAAAAGCTCTCTTCCTCTTCCTCCGTGCCAGCCCTACTGGTGAAGAAACTGAGGCTTCCTGACTCCTTCTCCTTTCTGGCCCCACACCCTTCTTCTCCACAGGGAAGGTCCCGACTCCTGGGTCCCTACGGGCTGATTCCTGAGCCACCCCCCCCGGGGCATCTACCTCAGGCCCCGTCCTCTCAAGGCGCCAAAGTACCTGCACAGGGCTCCAAGCACATGCTCGTGGAAGGGGCTGTGCTCTGTCCGCACCAGGGCCACCAGCTGCTGGACCATCCCCATGGAGCACAGGGTCCCTGGGAGGAGGGCTGCAGGGGTCAGAGAGGCAGCCCCATCCGCCTCCTATGCCCTCCCCCTCTCCCACACCTGTACCCACCCCAGGGCATCTGCTCCCCCACTCCTGCCCTCACTCAAGACCTGCCACACCTTTGTGTTCGGGGTGGCCCACCAGCAGGTTCTGTAGCAGGAATGCTGATTTGACCTTGAGCTTCTGCACCTGCTGCTGCATGGCCCGCATCAACACAGAGAAGCCGTCCAGGCGGAGGAATTGCAGCAGCCCAGCCTCCTGCTCTCGGACCAGACCTGGGGGAGGGGGAGAGAGTCCTGAGCTTGCAGTAACCACCACCAGCACTATGATCACAACCACTACCACCACCATCATCATCATCACCACCATCCTCACATCATCATCACCATCCTCACCATCATCATCACCATCATCACCATCCTCACCATCATCATCACCATCACCATCCTCACCATCACTATCACCACCATCACCACCACCATCATCATCATTATCACCATCACCATCATCATCACCATCCTCACCATCATCATCACCATCCTCACCATCATCATCACCATCATCACCATCCTCACCATCATCCTCACCATCATCATCACCATCCTCACCATCCTC